AATCTCCTATTTACCATATTTTGCCATGTATAATGTGCACATTTTTGCCCAAATTTGTGAGGGAGCAATAAGGATGTGCATTATACATGGGTAGTACTAATTTGTACCTATATAAACGTTTTCTGTTTTTATTTTTTTTTTAATTGGGGAACAGCCATGGTCATTGGTTACACATTGCTTTCATGCTAAAATGGCATAGTTGACTCTTTTAGGGAGGGTGCAGTTCACAGTGGCCAATGCGGGAATCAAATCAGCAACCTTGGTGTTATCAGCACCACACTCTAACCAACTGAGCTAACTGGTCATCCTAAATGTTTTAAATTCTTTTATTTATGCTTATGAGTTAAAATTGTTACTCTAGATATCAATAATGATATCTGTATACAAAATAGTATCCTGGAATACAATAATTGGTTTTGTTGAACTTATGATGAACTTGCAATGACAAAGAATTCTTGGCCTTCTATGATGCATAAATATTGTAATTTTGTTACTAGTACATAAAATTTCTTGTACCTTGTATCCGTTCTTGTGATTTGTAATTATTTGTTATGTAAAATTTCTTGTACTATAATATGTTAAAAAATAAATGCTAAAATTCCTTTATCATACAAAACACAAGTACCTAAATTTAAACAAATAAAAATTTGAATTAAAATATTAAAATGAAAATTTTTTCTTCCCTGAATGTTTGGGCCAAAACCGTGGGTGTGCATTATACTTGACAAAATGTGGTAACTTGTTCCAGAATTCTCTATATCCAAAGTATAAAGGAGCATACTGCATCACTCACCTTGTACATCATTGCCTCTCTTCCTCTTCCGCTAAGGGTTACAGTTACATGTGCAAAGAGTATTTTCACATAGTTCAGCCTGCCTCTGTCCACCAATTTGCTTGGTCATGAAGATAATCATACTGGTTAGTGGGTCAACCCCATGTTTCCTTAATCCAAATGACAAAAAAATCACAATGTCTCCATTCTCTAATGAATGTATTCTTTTTTTCTCACATTAATATAGAAACCAGGTACTTTTTCTTTCAAGGTCCTCTTTGGCTGTGTATCTGTCCATCAGAATAACAACTTTTACTACAAACATGTTGTACCTTGAAATCAGAGTCATCACAGTTATTCATTCTTTCTTTCTTGAAGTATAGTTCTTGTACATTTCGTTTAGTTAGTGGATTTCTTTTTTTTTTCTTCTTTTTTCTTTTCTTTTCTTTTTTGTTTTTACATACATTTTAATTCTCTAGAATCTGCTATAAAAAACAGCAAAGGAAGTTTGTTCTCTCAGTTCTCAAGATTGTTTAGAATTCCACAGTGGGATCATGCAGCATTTCACTTTTCTCATGAAAAATTATTTGGCATAGACCACCATTGCTTTCCAGTTCTACTATTATTTTTTTCATTGCCTCATTCTAAGAATTAATCCCACTCTCCCCCCTCCCACCGTGCCCTATGCTAAATCTGCCCTGATTTTCCAAGAACTACAATTTCTCTCCTGATGTAGTTTTAATATGTCAGAAACTTTATGGGTTTCTGCAAACCTTTATTTGTTTATTTTCCAAGAGCTAGAGAAGTAAACATGACAGAGAATTCTTTCATCTTCTTGATGAAAGATGAGCAGGTAATCTAGCAAGTAAAACACAAAAGTAATCAAACTGGCAAGCTAGAAAGACCCAAAAGAGAAGTGTTCTTTCCAATGTCACTTTAAAAAGCATTCATTTGAATAAACATTCAATTAATTATGAAATTTTCAGCAAGTACTTATTAATCACCTCCTGGGTCAGGGCTGAACTAATCCCTGGACAAAGATGTGAAGAAGATGTTGATATAGGGCTTGCAGCCTTTTCTCTTAATCTTCATAAGGATTCTTTGAAACCCGAGGGTTGGCATTATTATGTCAATAATAGATACGAATGAATACTCAGTAGTGTTGTATTCAGAGTCAAACTGGAAGTTAAATCTTCATATTCTTTTTTCGAGCTTTTCCAATGTATAAAAATGCAATTTTACTGTAATTTTTAAAAATCTTGATATCAAGATACCAAGAATAAAGAAAGACAATAAATGAAATGGAACCATTTGTTTTGGTTCTTTTTATACTCTGAATTAATGTAACTTGGTTTCTTATTTTGAAACAACATCTTCTCCAAACAAGATACCCATTTCTTCCTCGTTGGATTCATTCCTTCATTCTACAAATAATTTAATACCAGATATGTATCATATACTATTCTTGGCTTTACTTCAACTTCTTCCAAGATAATGAAAGAACCCTCATCGACTTTCTAGAACCCAATAGGATATTCGTTTCACTATAAAATCCGTCTTCCTCTGTTTTCATCTCTTGTTGCATCTAACAGTTACATTCCATCTTAAGTTGAATGTCATGAGCTCTGTTCATTTATCTTTATGAAGCTGTAGTGTCTCTGCTTCTGTGGCATTAACAAATGACTTCTCATGCATTAGGTAATATTTCCATGCTTTGGCCCAATATAAGTACATTATATCCTCTCCACTGTAAAATTGTTACCCATCCACTCCAAAGTCCTTTTCATGCAATGTAATGAACATGTCAAAATGCCCACTTGAGATTTTTTTTATGAAGTTGAGTTTCATATTTACATTTTTATGAACTGAATTCCTTTTTTGCCTTCCATGACATTTTTAAGATTCATAAAGAAAGGATTTGACTTCCTCATTAGAATGCTTTCTAAGTGCTCATTACATTACTATGGGTCCTCTAGACACATAACAACTGTATATTCCAGATGAACATTAATATTTTCAGGCTACCTGTCTCACATTGCCTCTCCATTCCCTGACCTCCTTCCTTTCTTCTCTCCACAATGTGTGAGAGGATTGAGGTGCAACTGAAAAATAGAAGGTAACAATAATCATAATTTTTTATTTTTCCTTTCATATGTCAAGAATTTCTTTTTATATTTTTATATTTTTATATTTTGTTTCTATGTATGGTTTGTTCATCCTGCAGCTTGGTATGTAAGGTGAAAAGTATTAATATGGAAGAGATGTGAAAATGGGAACTGATAATGAGAGAGAAAAGATCCTGGAATATCAAGATACAGTAGTGACAAAGATTCTCTCCTTGACCAAATGAGTCAGATTCCTCTAAGTCCTCTTCTTGACTAGGCCTCATCTTTGACTTATAAAGCCTTGAACAAAACACTAACATAATTTCTAACTGATCAAGGCCGTATTCCTAGGATGACTCTAACTCCCTGTCTTCCCCCCCAACCTTTAAAGTACATACCTGAGAATACTCAAGACTACCATAAGAATTTACTATTTGTTCCAGCCAACACCTGAAGATACTCCCCCATCTGCCAGCATCTGTGAGAGGGTAGGAGCCTAATTTTAAAAGCAAATCCAGAGGGGTTTCACATGGAGAGTTTTCCCCATTCCTGCTTTTTGTAATTGTTTACTTTCCTGACTTTACTGAGTCCGCACTTACCCCCCTTTCTCTTCCCTAGCACACACTTTAAGATACCCAGTCACCTGTATACAAATTGAAGTTAAGGTTACTCTAAAATCTTTTCCCTATTGCAGCAGTATATTACTAATTAAAATCTGATTTTACCATTTTAACTAGTGTGTCTGGCCTTGTGTATCTTTTTTTTTTTTAGCTGAGCCATCCTGCTACCTATTGGCAGCTTAGCAGCAGCTCAGCTCGGACCGGGCATCGAACCGCTGTTGTTCAGAGCTCAAACTCTTGAGTGAGCTCTTAACCAATTAAGCCACTCGGCCGGCCCTCCAGCCTTGTGTATCTTTAACAGTGGGAGTGATTAGTGGCTATTAGGAGACTAGATAAAGCAGAGGATCAAATCAGCAACAAGGTAGCAGAAAACAATGAAAAGAATCCAAATAAATGAGGTGAATTTAAGAGACCTCTGGGACAGTAGCAAGCATGAGAACATTCATAGCATAGTACCAGAAGGAAAAGAGAGAAAGCAACAGATTGAGAATCCATTTGAAGGAATAATGACTAAAAACTTCCCTAACCTGGCAATGGAACTAGACATACAAACCCAGGAAGTGCAGAGAGTCCCAAACAAGATGAACCCAAACAGGCCCACACCAAGACACATTATAATTAAAATGGTAAAGGTTAAAGACAAAGAGAGAATCCTAAAAGCAGCAAGAGAAAGGCAACTAGTAACTTACAAGGGAGCTCCCATAAGACTGTCAGCTGATTTCCTGACAAAATCTTTGCAGGCCAGAAGGGACTGACACAAAATATTCGAAGTGATGAAAAGCAAGAAACTACAACCAAGATTACTCTATCCAGCAAAGCTATCATTTAAAATCGAAAGATCTTCCCAGACAAAAAAAAAAAAAGCTGAAGCAGTTCATCAGCACCAAACTAGTATTACAAGGAATGTTAGAGGGACTTTTTTAAGATTTAAAAAAAAATCAAAAATACAAATAATAAAATGGCAATAGCTACATATCTATCAACAATTGCTTTCAGTGTAAGTGCATTAAATGCTCCAATAAAAAACATAGGGTAGCTGAATGCATAAGAAAAGGAGACCCTTCACATGCTGCCTACAAGACACTCATTTCAGATTGAAATACACACAGAGACTGAAAGTAAAGGGATGGGTAAGTTATTTCATGAAAATGGAAACGAAAGAAAAAAAAATTCTAGGGTAGCAATTCTTATACCAGACTAAATAGACTTTAAATAAAGGCTGTAACAAGAGATAAAGAAGGACCCAGTAATCCCACTTCTGGGTATTTTTCTTTAGAAACCCAAATGCTGCTTCAAGGGGATGTGTACATCCATATGTTCATTACAGCATTGTTTACAATAGCCAAGATGTGGAGGTAGGCTGGGTATCTGTAGATAGAAGAATGGATTAAGAGAAGGTGATATATATATATATATATATATATATATATATATATATATATATATATATATATATATATATATANATATATGTGTGTGTGTGTGTGTGTGTGTGTGTGTGTGTGTGTATGTATTAATTTTAATGTATAAAAATGTTTTATTTTTCAGGATTAACTGGAATTCTTCAAAATGTCAGGTAAGTTTTCATGAATAAATTTTAATATGCTTTATTTTCAAATGTGAATTGTGTGATTGCTTTCCCTAAAAAATTGGAGTTTATTTCATTTTGAAGTTTTTTATTGTTTAGTATTTGGAGAATATATACATTCATATATATATATATATATATATATATATATTCCTTTATACATATGAACATTCCTACCTGTCTTTGACAGAAAGGAGTAAAGGGATTCATATTGGCACACATGTACTGAAAGATCTAAAATGTGTGGGCAAGTTTGGGTAAAGTAAGAAAAATAAGTCTGCAAAGAGAGGTGATAGTGATAAAAAGCCTGAAATGACAGCCTGCCTTCGTAGAGGAGGGCTCGGAAGTAGCCCCTGTATTTTTAAGCAATGCAGAAGATGATATAAGGAGAGAAGCACCACATTTCTGGGATTTGTGAACTTATAAAAGTTGGTCCGTTAAAAAATACAGAACTTTTCCTTATAGTGAGTCCAGCGAAAAAGTTCTCTAATTTCAACAAGAGGACAAGGTATAATATCATGAGAAGTGACTTCAGTACTTCCGTTGAAGCAATTACAGTGACTTAGGTTGCTTTTAGGAAGAATACAATAAAACTGTGAGTCAATGGAGATGCAGACTAAACCACCTCAAATTGAGTTGTGTGTGGCACCACTGGTTTTTAAACCATTTAGTATTCATCTGCTCTGTCTTGAATTTACTGAGTATTTATTGTGTCTTGGATTTATTTAAACAGCCATTTCCCAAAAAGGATTCAGGGAAAGAAATCAGATTCACTCTATATATGACTTGTTCCTATTATATAATAGGAAAGAAAGTTTTCAACTCTGTGCAAGGAATTTATGGAGGTAGGAATCAGCATCAGGTCGAATGAGCTACTGAAAGCTCGTTGCTTTGATCATAGGACAGTAAAATTGCTGTGTTTTATTTTTTAATCTATATTCAACCTGAAAATTCTTGAAACATATTAAAAGGTTGCTCTCTAATATACATAATTAATTATGTTTTTAGTGAGAAATATGAGTGTATTTCAAATGGGTTACATGCATTGATACATACCAATAAGAAAAAATGAATTTATTCTGTTACTATATTATCATTTCCATTGTGAATCATGTCCCCACTCTCTCCAAAGGTGTAGTCCCCACAGCCCCCGAGCAACCCGCAGATGAAGTGGAAAATAACATCAAGGTGCCTGATGACCCTCCTGACTACAATTCTCATTTTGTACAAGGTAGGTTAATATTCAGAAAGGATCTTTCGTCTCTCCAGAAAACCATACTAATGGTTAAGATTGCATATAAAATTAATTAGTTAATTGATTCAATAAATATTGAATGTGTACAGGGCACCAAGTAGTTTACCACATGTCAATTAGAACACACTCCTATCTTCATAGGATTTATAGGCTACTGAGGAAGTAAGCTGTGCAAACATTGATAGCATTCTCTTTGATTATGGAAATCTGAAGAGTGTTGTAGGGGGCACAGATGACAGTAACTGACTCTACCAGGGGTCTGAGGGAAGCCTAACTGAGGAAGTCACGTTTTCTGGCAGGATAGGAGGTTTCTCAATCAAAACAAATGGCTAGGGGACCATGGCTGGCACAAAGAACAGTATGTCCAAAAGCACAGGTAATGAAGGTCTGGCATGAGGCATGCATGGGACAAATGGCAAGAGAAATGGAGGTGAATGGCCTTGACTGCTGATTAAGGAGCTTATAGTTTACCGATATTTTAATAAATCTGAATGCACTGCTGCTCCGGAAAATAGATACTCATACTGCTAGTGGAAATTTGACTTTTGGTCTTTTTTGGAACGTAATTTTGCAATATATAAAATTTTTAAAATGAAAAATATACCTTTGACTAAGGAAATACTTGTTTTTAGTTTTTATTATTATTATTAGTTTCAGGTGTACAAAACAATGCAATAGTTATCCTTTTCACCCCTCACACAGTGACAACGCTCCCGCCTCCACTGCCCACCCCACCCCCGATATCTTACATATCTATTACAAATTTATTGACTCCATTCCCACACTATACTCTACATCACATGACTATATATGTATTAAATTATAGTTGACATATAATATTATTCAATGGCAGCTTCAGATGTACAATATAGTGGTCAGGCCTCTACACCATCTATGAAGTGGTCTCACTAACAAGACATGAGTCCCCTAGAAAATATTTACAACGTTATTGATTATATTCCCCAGACTGTCTTTTCTATCCCCGAGGCCATATTGTAGTTACCAGTTTATGTTGTCTCATCCCTTCCCCTTCTCCCTCATTTCCACCCCCTCCCATCTAGCAACGCTCAGTTTTTCCTCTGTGTCTCTGAGACTATTTCTGTTTACATTTCTCATTTATTCAGTTTTTTAGATTCCACATATAAGTGAGATCATATGGTATTTGTCTTTCTCTGACTGACTTATTTCACTTAGCATAATGTTCTCTAGTTCCATCC